TAGGTAATCATTAAAGGTCAGGATATTAAAACATTTGGAAATCGTGCATAAATGTTTGTCAGGAAGAGCCCGTTAAAAGTGTGGATGCCTAACCCAAGGAAGATAAGACTTTCACTTTGCATTGCACAATCGTAGTTGGAATGAAGTTGAAACAACAAATGTTTTTAGTGAGCAGGCAAGAGTACTTGTTCTTCTTCGTAGACTGATGAAACAGAATGCTGTAAGTTTGCCGGAAACATTCAGGGTATCAAACACCATTGGCTGCATTGGACGTGAAACACATAGTATTCGTTTGTAGCATCCATCGGAGTACCCACCAGACTTTCATCAGTTCCATACCAGGAACCAACTTGGCTGGATTCCGATTAAGTACATTTCAACCATCGGGTCGTAATAGCATGTGGTTTGTCAGTCTTGCCAAATGCTGCCCAGTGGAACTGTAATTATCTCCGTCTACTCACATTTGGTCAGTAGTAAAGCTTTAAACTGTTAAAGTGAAGATCTCCGGTGTTATTATTACTGGAAAACTCGGTACTGTTATCTAACCCCATAAACTCGCAGAAGCTGATTTGCCAAAATACATGTAGTCTCACCAGTCATCCTGATTGGTTTCATTCGCTTCAGTGATGAGTTCGGAGAGCGATAACTAATCAGCAACCAATGATCAGTAACTGATTTTATCCTAGTGAATTGCACCAATGAAAGGAAATAAAGAGAAACTAGTATCAGCGCCGCATAGTTCTTATTAAGCATATCATCAGTACTTTTAGTCAATCCCTAATGAAGCTTGATATCCCGCTCTCTATTGATTACTTACTCTCCACTGACAGTAACATCACGTCCACAGATGATAAGTGGGTCACCAGTAATACACAAACTGTTCGAGGCATCCGAAACGGAATAGCCTGCCTCAGTAACAGAAGCCAAAAGACGCTCTTCCTCTGAAAAATCACCCCAAGTGGCTTACGTTGCACCACTTGCGGATCCACTCACCCGAAGGAATAAGACCAGTAGGTGTGTTAGTGAGGCCTTTGTGTCCAGCTGGCCAATGCTGGTTAGCCAATTGAATGGCTAGCAGGAAAAGGAAACCCTTATCTCTCGGAAAATAAACAGTGAGGGAGACTGCAATGACAAGATCTAAACGGAGAAGAAAGATATTTAAAATGAATTACAGGAAGCATTTCAGTATACGAGTGCATGTTAGTTCAGTCCAGAGACGGTAAAGTTGAAAAACAAAATTCACAGTTGAACTACAGAAAGATCAGGCAAACGATTTGTCGTTCAATACACCAACAAAGCCCAAGAAAAGAATAAGTAGAAGACCACAGACACCCAAATTTCTGAAAAGAGGAGTGGATTAATCGCCAAACGACCATAATCTTGGTCGGTGCGATCATCAACCAAAACAAAATGAATATGCTGACATGACCTACCTGAGATTAACGTACTCGGCATCTCTCCGCAGACGATGCACTATGAATAAGCTGATGACCAACTAATCCCAAACGACTAGCCTATTCGTGGCCGCACACCTCGCAACAACCTACAGTCATGTCACTACAACCTATGGCATCGCTGGTTCCTTGCGTACCGCGCGCTTTCGTTCCCGGCCGCGCAATAATTGCTCGTTGAACTCGCGGACGCCCATCCCGATCGTATTCTGGTTCAACACCAAGGATTCCCACCATCTAAAATCAATATTACAACGTGACAGACTCACCTGCACAACATCCTGGTATCTCCGCTATGGACCACCAGGATTTCGCTTACCTGATCTCAGTTGTTCATACAGCAGCTGCTTCGGGATACGGTCATCGTCAATCGGACGGACGTGACCCAACCAATGTAGTTGATTTAACATCAGCATGGCTTCCATCCCGTTCGTGTCCGTTCGCCGAAGTACTTCAGTGTTCGAAACCATGTCCGACTGCCGAATACTCAACGTGCGTCTTAGAAATTGCAAATGAATGCAGCTCAGATAACGCACGTTCCGCCGATACAATGTCTCTGTTTCACTGCCATACAACAGTATAGACAGCACCATTGAGCGATTGACAGACGGCTTAGTGTTCAGCTTCAGGTTATGGTTCTTCCACACACGTCTTTCGAGACGTTCGAAAACAGTACTAGCCTCCATCACACGAGCCCTCAGCTCTCGGTCAACCGACAGATCGGTGGACAACTTGGTAACCAGGTAGCGAAAATTCGCGCAGTTTCCAAAAAAGGCCTCATTAATAATTTGGGGCGAAGGTGTACATACAGCAGGATAAAAAAGGAGAAAGCTGAACAAAGTAAAATATCTTGCCTGTGTTGATATCCAATCCAAGCTTGGATACCGCGGTCACGAAAGCCGTGGCCATTTGCTGTGGTTTGTCCTCGCTGTGTGCCAGCAGTGTGCTGTCATCTGAGAAATAAAGTATGCGCATCGTTGGGGTATGTAACCGGGTTTGGGCGCAGAAACGTCGGATATTCAGTAGGTGCCCATCCGTCCGGTACTGTACCTCAACACCTTCCTTCTCAGAGTCTTAAAATGCGACTGTTAAGGTGACAGTTAAATGTAAACTAAACAGAGATGAAGTTAGCACACAACCCTGTCTCATGCCAGTGACAATGTCAAATTCATCAGAGTTAGATCCACACGATTGCACCTTTGCCCTCATGCTCACATGCAACAATCTGACTAAACTGACGAACTTAATTGGACATCCAAACCTACCAAGCACCGTCCACAGTACCTCACGGATAACGAAACCGAACGCCTTGGTGAATTCTACGAAGAGGGCACACAGAGGCTGATTCCGTTCCCAGAACTTTTCCTGATTTTGTCGAGCGGCAAACACCACGTTAATCATAATCCAACTCGCCCGGAATCCACATTGCTCCTCAAGAACAGTGGTCTCTAATAACTCCATATTCAGCCGGTTCAGGATAATTCTGGCAAGCACCTTGCCAGCGGAGATCAGTGAACTGATGCCCCGATAGCTGTCGGAGCACTGATTGTTTCCCTTACCTGTAAACAAAGGTACTACCACAGCATCTTTGAAATCTCGTAGCATTACCTCATGTTCCCAAATGTAATGAACCAGCTGGAGCAGTGCATGTACCAGCGTCGATCCACTATTCTTCAGGATGTCACCTCACAGTCACTCTTCGCCTGCAGCTTCTCTATTGCGTAATTGTTTGATCGTTTTTTGTACCTCTTGCATGTACGCGGTAACAGCAATTAAAGATTGGATGACCTGTTGCGACAGGCTGTTGACGGTCACCCAATCAATGGTAGAACGACGGTTTAGTAAGCTGCCAAAGTGTTCGCGCCAGACCTTCAGGATGTCCTCTGGCTAGATGCAGGAACAACCGGTGTCCACGTCTACCAGTGCTTTGACAGATTGGACGGATATACTGAGGATCACTTTGTGCAAATCAATGAACTCATTGTGTTGTCGGCGCTTGGCGTAGCGTTGCATCTGCTTACTCTGCTTCATACACCAGTTGTCCTTGATTCCGCGCGCACGCTCGGCCAGTTGGCTAATAGACTGGAACGTGGCCTTGTTCACTTCATTGTCTGGGTTCCCTATAGGGTCAGCAAATGCGGCATTCTTCTCTCGTACCAATTTGGCAATAACCACGTTGTTGTTATCAAACCAGTCCGGATGTTTCTGACATTTGAGACCGATGGTTTCGGTGGCTGCCGTCGTGATCTGTTCCTTGATGGATTGCCACATATCCTAATGGGTAGTGGATACAGGAGCGTCGTGCGGACAAACGGAAGCTACATGCTGGAAAGCGGTCTTCGTCTTGTAGTCTTCCAATCGTTCGATATCCAACTTTTGTCGGTGTCGGTAAGATCTATTCAAGGAAGATCCATTTCGGACAATCTATTCACACACACACACGTTATGACAAGTGACCCACGGTGGTACACTCTATTTATAAAATATCATTGTATGGGCTGTATAATGACGTCACAAGTATACTTCAAGTTCTGTAAACAAATGTCCAAACGAGTCAAGAGGTATTAGTAAATGATTCAATTCACATTATTGGGTGATTAGTAAGTTGGAAGTTCAAATAGCAGAAAAACGCCGACTGTCGTGGAGGATCCCGTAGCCGTTGTCTTCAATTTACTGTCAAAATGTACAGTTCACGTTTGTCCATATTGTTGGCACCCGATTTGTTTCTGTTGAACTTGAATGTGGTCAAAGCTATATATACTTATTGCTTGACGTTATATTGTCTGCTTTGTTTCTAAAGCCCCCAACATCACAAAAAGCGCTGCCTTAAGTAGTGGTGTTTTTGCTGTTTGTTTACATAAAATTGTACCTTGGTAGATCATTTGGACAAGTTTTCTCATATAATTTCCTCGAGCAATTTTGCTTCATATCGATGACAACTCTGATATGTTGTCTATTCAAATTTATTTATTCAAGTAATTTTTTTAATTAACCACTTATTTGTTTGCTCACAGTTGAGCATTGAACAATTTATTTTCCGATAAAAATCAATTAAACTTACCAATCTCAAGACGGGGAAAACTTGCATACAACAGGACACTGAATCCACCAGGATGGTTATGTGAAGTGAGCTGTAGTGCAGTTTATGTTTCCTCTCATTTAACAATTCACCCTTATAACATTTAGTGTACACGAGAAAGTACAATGCAATTTTGATTTTTGAGCACTATAATTATAATGTGTTCGTTAGTTCTTTTTGGTGTTAGGTCTCCTTGGTAACATTAGTTGGAAGGACGTTAATTCTCTGAGGATTACAAGCTATAGGATAGTTTTACTAATAAGTAGTGTAGCAGATTTATGATTTTAGATGAGATCCATTGTGAAAAGTCAGGGCTTCAGCTGAATTCAAACCAGCCACAGAAACACCATGCCTTAACCAGCTGAACTACGTAGCCACGCCAGAAGCTCGGAAATTTTACATTTGGACTTGGTTATCCACACGTCCCACTGTCTCATATAGAATCCACCAAATGATCTACGGGATCTACTGGCTTCGTAGTTTAGCTGGTAGATCGCTTGCCGTGTTCAGGCATGGTGTTTTTGTGGCTCGTTCGAATCCAGCCGAAGCCCTGATTTTTCACAATTGGGTCTCATCTAAAATAAGACAGTTTAGTGAATATTGACTGAGATTAGCCGGCATATTTTGAAACTCTCTGCAGAGATTTTGAAACATTGGATCCCAGCAATAAACTTGAGAAAAGACCGACAGCTGCATGTATCTTGCACAATGACATTTCGTTCGTATCTCGTAGGTTACTTATGCAAAATTAACATACACACTATATAGCGGTGAAGCAAGCAGCTACGAGAAATTGATCTAGTCATGTTCGAGACAGACAGTCAAGTGACCAAAGCGCAGGCAGCAAGATGCAACTGAAGAGTGCTCATTAACCAGAACAAGAATGTGACACATCACAATAGAATCGTTGTGGTTCGGACGGGTAGAGAGAGAGGGAGAGATGGTTAAAAATCCATACAGATTGAACGGAAGTGATGAGACATGGTTGAAAAATCTGTACAGATCAAACATAATTGAAAAGGATGTACATCGATTCACATAATATGGATTTAAAATGGATAGGGGTGGTTAAATAGTTGTTAGGTTGTATGAAGAATATATCGGTCTAGGAAATTCGAGTTTGAAAAAAAATCGAAAGTAAAATGGAATCAAAGAGTACCAGTTACAATTTTTATCAACATAGCAAAAGACTAGCCACCAACTTTTTCCGGGCTCAAACAGTGGAATTCAACCAATGTATTCGACTAGCTTCCGCAATATTAAGAGTCCGCTATGATTTAGGCCCAAAGAACACTCTAAAGGCGGTCCTCAGGTCCAGTGAGTGCCCGGTCTGTAGAAAGTGTTTTGTAATGACACTGACGGCACAACCGACCCTCGGATTCAAAAGCCATCTCGCTATGTTCTTGTTAATGCGTGTGCCGAGTTGCCTCCTAGTTCTTACTGTAGCGAAAAGGCGTCCGATAAAGCACAATCTTTATTGTCCAACACGCTAGTCCACATGCTACGCGCGCGCTCGCGTTTATGAGTCAGCATTCCAGTCCACAACACCCCCAGGTTTCCGTTCACGCGTCGTGTGCACTTCTACCAGGTTTAGGTGTGTGATTGGTGCCTTCTACCCGGGGATTTTCTGCTTGCTATTCCTCGTCCGTCTATCCGATTTCGTTGAGCTATGGCTCGTCCGGTCGCTCGTGCTGTCCGCCATCTATCCACTGTCAGCTGTCACTGTCCTCCACGAGTGTTGGAATAATCGAGCCTTCAATTTGGTCATCCATCCTATTTCGGCTGCCACGTCTCGCCCGTTGGTCCGATCCGGTCGAGCGATGACTCATCTGGTCGCCCACGCCGTTCTCCATCCGCTCATCGTGGGTTTTTGAATGCACCTCCCCTCTGTGTTGCGGTATTCGGCCAAGAGTTGGAATGCTCGCACTTCCTACCTGACAGTCCAGAGCCATAGCCAAACGTGTACACAATGTTGGACTGGGCGAAAAGAACACTACGTTCTTTCTAAGTGTAGTTGAAACATGGGTAATTTCATCCACATAGACCAGACGGGCGGCGTTGTAAATGCACTTGAGTGCTGCACAAAAACGGCGTTTTATGAGGGCTGAAACATAATCACCTCGGAAAGGTAGAGTTAACTAGACAGGCTTGCGACAAACAGTGATGATTGTAACTTGCGTGGGTCGTGGAATGGAATACTTTTGGATAAACCTTTCGGGGTAAATATTTTCCATCAGAATATCGTGTAGAAACATCCGTTCATTTTCTAGCTCATCTTCTGTCACAATACGTCAAATTCTGTTAAAGTGTGGTGATTGTCACTGAACCTATTTCTCATTACTGTTGTTTTATTACATTGCTGACTATAAGTTGTACAATTGCGCTCGAGGGATAAATTACTAGCTTTGCCTAGTCCGGTTGTTATTACCGTTGCGTCGAAGCTAGCTCTGGGGGTGAGCTAATTCAACTACTTCATTTCGGTATTTCTGGAACCGTCACACAAAGTCTTAACGAGGTCACGTTTTTTGTGTAATTGATGTGAAGCTCTAAAGGTACAGATATTGTCCTGTCCACATGGACTTGTGATAAACACGTCTGGAAAGGGATCTATCCTCGCGTCCTTTCAGCTAAACGTCTAGGAATGATATTGTCCTGTTTTGTTCGAATTCAAGGGTAAATGTAGGTTTGTTATACAAACTACTTAACAGCTAGTGAAAAACTGTTACTTGCCAGTGGTCGTCGAATGAAACAAAAATATCGTCTACGTATCGTTTATAAAACAACGTGTTCCGAATTTTAACGGACACTGAATGTTTTAAGTGACCCATGAATTAAAGCGCGTCATATGCTTCTGTGCTGCGCTTTGGCAATTCGATACCTCGAATAACAATTGAACATACTGCAGAACAGAATCTGTGGTATGCTGAAATTCAATTAAATATAGCATCACTTTCATGCAATCACCAATCCGGCCGTTGCGTTGGGCAAGTTGTAAACCCTCCTAAACAATACGTTGGTTCGTCCTTGCTGTCGTAATTCGCTTGGCAGAATTCGGATTCTCCTCCCGTTAATAATTCACACGAAAATTTCGGTCCATAAAAATATTGCGACTGTCCCCGTATTCGCTCCGAAGAAAAACCAAAAGACGCGTACAACAAAATAGTCTTGTTCCGCCCCAAAACGTGTGCGACGAAGGCGACAAAGAGAAAGTACTTACAGGGCGCGCAGTGGCCATAAGAATATTCCCGAATCATAAAAAGAGAAGGACATTTGCCGGGGGAAAAATAGTTAGGCTCACTAATGGGCACAACGGAACAAAAAGTCTGCCGGGTAAAAACTAGCCAAGGCCACCCTCACGGCCGTTCTGAGCAGGTCCGCTAACTAGGACAACGTCAATCGTTTCTTTCCTTTCTCACGGCGGAGGCGCTTTGGGACGGTAACAGGGGGGGGGGGCGCCCTAACAAAACCCTCAAAATATGCGGTTTGATGCATATCACCATTTAACCTGTGACTTTTACTAAACTAGTCCAACAAATTTATTTTGAGCTGGAAAGCACCATATCCCATTGTCAAGTTAGAAATTGGAAGACAACAGAAGGCCGAATAATACGTAAACCTATTTGCGTCAGCCATATGGTAAAGATGGGCTACTAAGCAAATTCACAAACATGGTGAGCGTTCAATCAAGGTAACACACATTCGCACATGATGATGATTCACTTGTCAGTAAAACGTTTGTGGTCGAACAACACCTTTTCGTAGTCCACTGCACTGCGTTATTTATTCTCGCGTTTAGCCTGTCTGTTTGTCCCGGATTTCATACATGAACCATCAGGAGCATTTGAAACAAACAAACACACTATTGATGAGAGACCTGATTTGATCCTATTAAAAAGATTCTTATAAACCTCAAATTCCTATCCGCTTAGATTTTCGTCAGAAAACTTCAGATAAACTTCTCTCGAATATTAAGAGCTATATATTCCTCGCATGACAATCAACTAAATCGTTTTGAAAGATGTGGTCGCTCAGCAGTGTACAACTCTACTTGGCCTGATCCATTAGCAGGTGGAAAGAAAATATGAACGCATTCAAAATTCGTTTATCTGGCAACGGTAAACGTCCGGTACTCCTGGTTCATAGTATCATACGTTTTACAGAAGTAAAAATAAATGCCTGTGCGGACATCTTGTTACTTGACAACCAGGTTAAGTGTGCCAACAACATAATTCCTACTAGGACGCTAGTTTGAAGGAATTATGGGACTCTGAATATATCACTCGTCCAGATTTTTGTCGCTCTGGAGATGGTTAAACGTTAACCGCATTTTAAGACTAAATTTATCGGCTAAAACGATTACCTTAACATACAGCTGTTCAACATGTTCTCAGTCCATTCCAGTCTGTCAACAGTGACTGAGTCAGTCGCTTCAAACGATGACCTTCGAGCCCCTTTAACTATCTGGTGATCGGTCGAGTTCCAAGGAGGACAGTTCCACTGGGACACTGAAGTGCCTGGCTCGAAGTGGTGTCCAAAAAACCAGTGACATTGCTTAGTAGAAGACAAACAAGGAAATTAGAACCACAGTGGCAGTATTCCAATGTGTTGGAACCAGTCCAACAGAATTGTACTCAGTCTGTGCTCACTATCGAAAACCGATCGACAAGGAGAAACAAAGACTCAGCGTGTTGTCCCCTGTGTATTGATATTCACCCTGGAAAATAGAGTGTACAGAGAAAGAACATCAAGCTAGCGAGGTACGGAACGAGTTGCGTGTTGGGTTCCGGGATGGATAGTACAAAGTTGATACGCTGACTAAAACAAAATCAGGTAAAAAACCAAAATCATCGACAATGTACCAGTGAATGATGCCATCAAAAATATTATTTATTACAAGTGTAAAAATTGTGTTAAATACAGCAAATAACAGGTCCTTGTGATGCTGGCACCACTGCCCAATAGTCGCACCACGCACCTTATTCGAAACCGTTTTACAAAACCGGAATTTATTACTTCGGTCCGTTTTCCGTAAGGCTTGAGGAAGAAAACAAACTATTGGGATACGCTTTGAAGCCTTTCTCACAAAGCCGTTCACACTGAGATCGCACACAAGCATGGCAATGATTCACTCGAAGGTCGAGTTTCGCATTTTATCGTTAAAAACGAGCTATCGCCTATCATGAACGGAATGATAAACATACTCGGAAGAATCAAGAACAATTCTGAAGCAACTGCTGATGCATTGGTTTAGAATCACCTGCTATAGTTTCAGAAGAGGCTGTTGGTGGATTCTCCAGTATTCACAATCGGTATTCGTGTGATATACGGAAGAGAATTATTCGTTCACAATGTCGTACTCCGAGCTAAATTCTGAGAGATTAACTGGTAATCAGAGAGCCACTGCATATGACAATGACAGAATGAAGGCCTTTGAAAGAAATTTACTCAGATCTCGACTAGTTTACAGTCTTGAGTCCGGGTTACCTCATATTGCTTGGTTTAATCGTTCCCAACATTGTTAAAGAAATAGGGAAACCCGACTTCACTAAGA